TTGTTTTCTTTGTGTCCCTAATAAATTAGATGTAAACTTAGCTTTGGAACAAAGCAGCCATTTATTCATGCACAACTAAGCCTAGTGTGTTTTACTGAAGATAATTAATGAGCCTAAAATCCACTGCAAGGGAAAGTGAAGGGGGGTTGGCTGGGATCTGTTTAATGCAAATATATCTAATAATGTTTATTGACCTAGTAGCTACTAGACAGATGCTTCATCTTCGGCTACATTTAAAATCTTCCCCGAGCAAAAAACCATTTTAAAATGCAGCCAGAATGACAAACAATATGAACCAAACACTTTACTTATCCTGATATAAAATAAACCATGCATATAAAATACACTATCCTGATATAAGAAAGACCACACACAATGACTGCAGATATCTACCTTACTTAAATATTTTCTTCACAGTGACTTCCTGGTGATTTATTCTTCTGTTGGCCACAACAAATTAAATGCCAAACTTTGTTTATTTTATACATTTTCAAGGCTAATATCCAGCCTCCTATTTCAGTTTAAATAATGTTGCTGGCAAAATACATTTGATGGAGTGTATGGATAAAATACCAGCTGCAAAGATAAAAAGAGAAACAACAATCCCCCCCTTAATTTACCAGAGACACGTGAATTCCATGAAGTTTTTTGACATGTGTAGGGCCCACACAGCAGGGGAAAACGATTTACGAAGAAGTATCTTCACATGCATACTCCCTCCTAAGAGTGCATGTCTGCCCTCTTACCTGCAAGAAGTAAGACACAGTGGAAAGATGACCAGGTCCTCTTGATTAACTGTGTGATCTTGTAGCATCTTAAAACCTAGCAGATTTATTAGGCATAAGTTTTGGTGGGTAAGAACCACTTCACCAGATGCATGGAGTGGAAATCACAGAGGTTGAGATATATGTATGTAGTAGCATATCAAAAGAAAGGAGCTTCAGGGGGTAGCCGAGTTAGTCTGTACAGGATAAACTTAAAAAACAACAAATGGTCTGGTAGCACTTTATAGACTAACAAAACATGTAGATGGTATCATGAGCTTTTGTGAGCGCAGCCCACTTCTTCAGATGACTGGAGTTACTTATCAAGTGTAGGATCCTTGTGAGGCCAGATCAGTCAGGGTGGATATGGCTCATGCCCAGCAGCTGATGGGGAGCTGTGAATACCAAGAAAATTGTTCTTTTAATCAATCCTTTGTTCTTTACACAACCAAGTAATCTGTAGAACATAGGCACAGTGGGATTCCCCAAAATCGTGTTTATTAAGTATGAATCTGGGGTCTAGCTGCATATGTAGACTGCTGCTCGGGCTGGTTTGTAAAGCTACAAGAGGTGTCTCAGCCTATTTAAAGTGGGATTTCCAATTCCTAGGCACTATAAAAACTGAGGTTCAAAGAGCATAAGGGTGAGCTTTTCAAAAGCACTCAGGATTAAGCAAACTCCGCGCCTGCCTATGTTGGTGATAAAATCAATTGGTTGCAATGATAGCAGCGTTAGGTCTTTTAAAAGCTCCCATCCAAAATGACTTGTCCAGGGTCACAAATTGAAGAGCTGAAGCAACCTGTATGGAACTTGGAGAGAGGCGCACAGATTGCAGGAGGGAAGTGGTTGGAGGTGGTAGTGGGAAGTTGGTCTGTGCACCCAGGGTTAGAATGCTATCTGTAGCATTTCTGCAAATAGTTCTCTTACTAAAGAGCAAGATGCATTTCCAAGCATGGAGTCCTTTTATGTTCTGACCATGCCAACAGTGCATCAGCTGGTGCCCTACGCATAAAACTGTTCTTCCAAACCTGTTCAAACTCTACACAGCTGAGATGTGGCTTTGATCCAGCCAGTAGCCAACAGCCAACCACCTCTAAGACTCTGGCCTGCTGGGAGCGAGTCACATCCAACTCTGACTGAATTGGCCTCGTTAACAGTGGTCTTACACTTGATAAGTTACTTCCTTCTTTTGATATGCTAGTATACATACCTCAACCTCTGTGATTTCCACTCCAGGCATCTGACTATGTTGTTTTTACCCACGAAAGCTTATGCCCAAATAAATCTGTTAAGGTGCATCTACACAGCAGTGTTATTTCGGAATAATGGTCGTTAATCCACAATAACAATGTGGGCACCTACACAGGAATTCCATTATTTTGAAATAATTTCAAAATAATGGACGGTTTATTCTGACTTCTATAAACCTCATTCCATGAGGAATAACACCTATTCCAAAATAGCTATTTTGGAATAGCAGTAGCGTGGACACTCCACTGCTACTATTTCGAAATAGCTCCTCCCCAAGGCCATTCAAACTAATTACTCTCCAGTGCCTCCCGGGGCTCAAAATTGAGTTAGCATGTCCACATTAGGGAAGCCTGCCTCAGACTATTTTTGAGGTTTCCCTTTGTCATAGACATGCTATTTCAAAGTATTCCTTCTGGAATAGCTTATTTCGACAGAAGCGTTCAATGTAGATGTACCCTTAGACTGTAAGGTGCCTCAGGATTTCTCATTGTGTTTACAGATACAGACTAACACGGCTTCCTCTTTGACACGTGATCCTGCTATAGTCACTTGGGTCCTTCCTTTACTTCTATATGAAAATCTGGAGTAACCTTGACGATCCTGAGACCTAATTCAACAACAGGAGCTCTGCATATCTACAGGGAACATTTGACTCCCCCAGTCCACTATCCAGCTGATGCTGCAAGGTGTGTGGAACACAAATCCGGCTAATAATATTAGAGTACACTTTGTATATTAATGTTTCCCAGTAATGAAATTATTTGCCTACAAGTCACAATAGGATAAGCTACCGAAGACTGTTTCTATCTGCACAGCCACTGTATGTTAATTTCACAAACAAATTACCACAATTAATAACATGCCTCCCGAGGCTGAAAGGGATTAGAGAAAAAAAAAGACTCACTTTCTGGTTCAGCA